GATTGATTGATTGATTGATTCGAATATATTGTAGCGCTCCATCCACCTCAAAATTTTAAATTGCAAGTACTCGTGTAAGACAAGATTACTGAAGCCTTGTGAATGGTTGGTGAGTTGCGCCCTCGTGTGGCGGCTTTTCCACGTCTCTTTCAAAATGTTATATAAGACGATGTAGATCTTTTGGTGTTGTTTTTCAATTACTGTTTATGGCAACATATATTACTTCAATAAATTATATATTTTTGAAAAGAACTTGTTGTTAAAATATTGTGGAAATCCGTATTTATATGTATTAACTCATACCTCGAGCATTACAACTTGAATGACAATACACTTTTATCTTCTCAATAAAGAAAATACAAAATACAAATGTATACACTATATCTGTTCTAAACAATGCTGCAACGGGATGTGAACCAAATGTGCGTACATGATATCGCTATGGTAACACACAGACTGTGGGTAACAGTGTGACAAACCGCTCTACATACATAACACCCCATATACATTTGTACAATGTTTTCGATCAAAGATCGGCGGACCATGGAGTTTCATAGGTGGAAAGAAGTTTCGACATCACATACTAGTATGTTAAATCTCAGTAAAGTATTAGTCTGATGTTAAATGTTGTCGATTTCACCATGGAGCTAAAATAAGATTTCACGTACGTTGTTATATGTGAAGAGGATTCTCCACGTAGGTTGTTTTGCAGGGCGCACCGCGCTGTAGCCTGACAAGTTGGCGTAGGTGGCGCCCTGGACTGCTGCGATCCCCACTAACCGCGCTGCGGATGTTAGCCAACGCCCCGAGCTACTAGAGATACTAATAATCAATGAGGGACGCAGTCAGTCATTTTTGTGTCGTTTGACAAGAACAATGACGTCGGGTTACTTATGACCAGGGCTTGCCTGGTAAACTCTGGACAATCTAACCTAACAGTTTTGTCGCTACCGAGACCCAGGGCGACATGTTGATCACAAATGATTTTTAGCTACAAATGGGACAGGGAATCAGAGACTTCAGCATTCTGTTAATACTCTGTATTCACTGAACACATACAATTACATGTACACCGCCGTACTAGCAACATTTAGTGCGTCACAATCACTGTAAAATATCATTATATTATATTACTAGTAGAGTGACTGTGATTTCCCCATCAACACAATTACAAACAAATTCTCGCCGAATCACAACTTCTCACTTGTATTTTATTGTTGAAGAATGTGATTGACCGATTTTAACAATTATCATCCGTACTTCGACGTGTCTGCGTTACTTACCATACATGTAGACACTTGCATCGTGTCGATATCATAACGAAATGTGTGTTATGTCCGGATACCCAATCTTCCAAGGGCATGGTTATTTATTGATTTTTCACGGTTACTTTTTTTAGTAACCGTGATTTATTTTATTTAACACTTTATTTAAAGTGGGTAAGTCAAAATACAATAAAGTAATTTTCATTGCGCCCTCTGTAGAAACAAAATACATTAACAAATCAACAATACACACACACTTTAGGCTTGAACCATTTACAGCAAATTTCTTACCAGAATATAATTTGTATATGTTTTCTTAAAGATGCCTAATAAGGCTTAATTTTTAATATGAGTTGCCAAGTTATTCTATAGTGTCACCTCTCTAATTCGAACTGAGACGTCCTCCGACCTGTAGATGTTTCTCATTTAGACGAATATAGGTAAAAAGCTTCGAACTCTCATACGAACACCAGCTCAGTTTTTACAAAGGATATCTACATGGTTGTCTCATGATAGAATGTTATCTATTATCACTCCGAGCGACTTTAAAATTAAGTAGGACATCTTCACCAACATTATTTTCCCTTTGACGGGATCCAACGACCATAGATTTTGAGTTGTTGATTGACATGTAATTGCAATTTACCCAACGCAAAATTGGCCAAACATCATTATTAAGGATGTAAGTCACTATCTTATATTTTTTGTTGTTTAGTGTATAGTTTGGTGGCACTTGTCTACCTGTAGGCAATAGATGTGTTTCCGACTCAAAATTGTAACCCATACACCCAAAAATAGCTTTTTATAAAAAGAAAAAAAAAGGTTAGAATATGTGTTTATAACATCAGACTGCTCTCTTTGATTCCCGGTTAATTGTCTTAGTGTGCAAACAATAAATATTGAATCTAATTTGCATATGTAGGTTTACTTAGCAACGGAAACAACGCACGCCCG